AAAAAAAAAAAAAAAAAAAAAATCCAAGTTGAAATTTTAATGACCTCTAAATCTCAAAGTACCCCAAATTTGACCTCTACCTTCTCCCCTTGAATTCAAATTTTGGCACCTTTTTTTTCATTATTCAAAAGTTTTAACTTTTATGTTGTTTATAACAATTTCACACGACCAAAAATTAATTAAATATTAAATTGATTTAAAAATTTTTAAAAACATGCTTCTTGACCAAAGGAATTTTAACCGTTTTAAATAATATATTGCAATAAATAAATAATCATATACTTAGTCTCTTAATAAACATATATTAAATTGATGTAATTAAGGATATTTATTTAAAATCTTAATTTATTAATTAATTTTAGTATTAGTTAAATTAGGTTAACATAAGTATTGATTTTTAATGCATTAACTTCATTTTGACTGCTTCATTGATCAATCTAACAAAATTATGTGTCATAATACATTCAAATTAAATTATAAATTTATTTACGATAAATTGTATTTTAACTTTTAAATCTTATTCTTTTGATAGTCGAGGTATTTTGTGATTTCAACTCACGACTGATTCTATAGAGACCAATGGTAGACAATAACTCTTCGAATACAGCTTATTACAAGTTTCAGTAGACTATGTCTCCGAGTTAGAAGGGAGAATATTGTTTATGGAGACCAAATTTATAATTTAACCTAAAATTAGTTTTAAAATGTCTTCAACAAATTTTGAATATATTCAAGTGAAAAATAAATTTTTAAAAGGAACAAAATATGTAAGAATATGCTCTTGGTATTGCGCATTCCAGACTCAATCGCAGCCGTTGATTCTTGAATCCTAATAAAAGTGTGGAATTTGGAGTCATCAAGCGACCATTTAGCGCGTGTGCCTCACGCGAGTCCGGGTAGCGTCATATCTGCCCGTTGACTATAAAAGAAACCCCAAACGAGAAAGCCTCATTTCTTCGGTTCACTCGCAGACAGAATTCAAAGCATTTGGCTCCGAGGGTTTGGGTTTGGGAGGGAGAGAGAGAGAGAGAGAGAGAGAGAGAGAGAGATTTCTCTTCTTCTCCATTGTTGGAATTTTTGCTTCCTTTCTGCTCTGAATCCCATCTCCAATGGCGCTCTCTGATAAACCCTCTCGCCAATCTCTCATCCCCAACTTCCTCTACTCTTCCTCTTCTTCCACTCGAACCCTCCCCTTGAAGAAGATGCTTCAGTCTCCACCCACTCTCGATGACGTTTCTTCTTATCCTAAGAGCTTTGTCATTCCCGCTCCCAGCGAGCCGTCTAAGAAGATCGAGATGTACTCGCCGGCCTTCTACGCTGCTTGTACTTTTGGTGGAATTCTCAGCTGTGGTCTCACGCACATGGCTGTTACTCCTCTTGATTTGGTTAAATGCAATATGCAGGTTCGGTTAGCTTGGATTTCTCATCATTTTTCTCCTTGTGTTTACATTTCTGTTTGGGTAAACTTGAGTATGTGTGCGAGGATTTTGAAATGTTTGTCATCTTTTTCTGATTCGGTTATATTCTGATAGATCTGTGGTTTTCTCGCTTTGTTAGGAGTTTTTTTTTTCCTGGGGTTTTTGAATTGTACGGATCCGATCTAGAACTTGGCCGATATACTTCGAGCCACCCTAGTATTTGTAATGAATTTGCTAATTAAGACTGTAACGCCAGTATTATGCTTATTCAGATTGACCCTGCGAAATACAAAAGCATTTCGTCTGGTTTCGGGGTTTTGCTCAAGGAGCAGGGTGCGAGGGGTTTCTTCAGGGGCTGGGTGCCTACCCTCCTTGGCTACAGTGCACAGGGTGCCTGCAAGTTTGGCTTCTACGAGTTCTTTAAGAAGTATTACTCTGATATTGCTGGACCTGAGTACGCAGCGAAGTACAAGACCTTGATCTACCTTGCCGGTTCTGCATCTGCTGAGGTGATTGCTGATATTGCACTTTGCCCCTTTGAAGCCGTGAAGGTTCGGGTTCAAACTCAGCCTGGTTTTGCTAGAGGACTGTCTGATGGACTTCCCAAATTTGTCAGATCTGAAGGAACACTAGGGTGCGTACTATCAATGATTCAAGGGTTTTTGGATATTTTAATGGATTAATGAGTTCCAGCTCGTTTGTAATTGCAGGTTGTACAAGGGTTTAGTTCCACTATGGGGTCGCCAGATTCCATGTAAGTTCAAAACGAGCTATTCTTAATTTGTCAGTTCTATGTGCACCTTTTGTTCTTGTTGCATTTTCTTGATTTAAATGATCATATACTCTCACACATATATAATAAACTTGGGATTATGGTGAAATCAACTTTAAATTTGGTATGTTTAGCTATTAGTGCAAGCACATTCCTATAATTCAAGATTTTATCAGGTAAGAATTTGTGTTTCTCTATGTTTGAATCCCAAGGGAAACATAAACTTGTATACGAATTTTAATATCTGCTTTGTACTATGGAAATCAAAGTGAAAATTGAAAAGTAGTATGAAGCAAGGACGATATTGAAGTATTCATTTTCTGTTTTCTTTGAAATGAAACATGGGTTATTTTATTTTCTGTTTTGACGACGTGCTTGTATTCAGATGCTTTGTCACGCTTCCATTTTTATTATTGGTTTCCCCCCGTTTTCTTTTTGTGATGAAACAATTGAAGTTATTTGGTTTACTTTGTTTCAATTTTTTAATTGGAGCCATGAATTATTGTTGGCGATCATTTTCGTTTGGTGATGCTTTGGAAGTTGCTACTGGTTTGATAGATGTTTGGTCGTTAATGTATCATGTCTAGGAGCATTGTCTGGTGCACCACACAACTAATTACATTTGGCATTCCAGGGTCTTTCTTGTTGTTTGATAGTGATGTTGTATGACTTTAGGAGTTTTGTATTGTATCTCTCTGTATTTTTTGTATCTTCAAGTGGAGAGAATTCAAGAAGATTTATTTGTGAAGATGTTCAATTATTGCTCTGATTGCTCTATTTTTCTGGACAAAAGATAATGTTTCATCCCTCGACCTCAATCATTTGAGCATGGGTTGTACTAATTGTTTTGTGCAATGATATCTTGTGGATCTGGATGATTTGGACGCCTAAATTGTGACATAGATTTGTGCTTTGCAAAGTTTAGTTTTCTCTATTTTTTCATAGATTGCTATGAATTAAAGTTGTTTTATTTAGCTATTCTTAATGATCTGTGCGTTTCTTTCAGACACAATGATGAAGTTTGCATCCTTTGAGACAATAGTTGAGATGCTATACAAGTATGCCATTCCCAGGCCAAAAGACCAGTGCAGCAAATCTCTCCAGCTTGGTGTGAGTTTTGCTGGTGGATATGTGGCTGGTGTTTTCTGTGCTATCGTGTCTCATCCCGCTGATAATCTCGTGTCGTTCCTCAACAATGCCAAAGGAGCAACCGTTGGTGATGTGAGTGCTGCCTCCTTATGAATGGAGCTGCGCTCGATTGATTATTGCTCCACTTGTTTTTTTATTTTTTATTTTTTATTTTTTATTTTTTAACTTTTGGTTTTTCATTCCATAGGCTGTCAAGAAGCTCGGGTTATGGGGTCTCTTCACTCGTGGGCTACCCCTCCGTATTGTGATGATTGGAACTCTTACTGGTGCTCAATGGGGTATCTACGATGCATTCAAAGTATTTGTTGGACTGTAAGTTCATCCCAAAGCCTAAACCTTCTTGAATTTCCCCCCATTCTCATTTGAGAGAACCATCAGTCACCTTGTCATTTTCTTTTGACCAGACCTACCACTGGTGGCCCTGCACCTGTTGCTGCTGAGCTCGCAAAGGCGTGAAGTTGATACGTGATCAACCAACCGGAGTTTTGTTGTTTTTTACGAGTTGGGGTGAAACCTCTTCATAGGTATTGAATAAACATGACCTTTAGAATGATGCTTATAGACCTCAAAGCCGAAAGTATATCTTCATAGAATGGATAGACCGTTTTCCATTCGGTTTTTCGTTTTCTTGTTTATTTTACTCGGCATTCATTGAGTTTGTTCGACCAAGGATGGTTTTGCTCTCATCCTTGCTAGCTTGGGATACTCATTTGTTTGTAGTAAGTAGTTCAGAATTCAGATAGAGAATTGCAGTTTGATGGTTTAGAACCATGAGAATATGATGTGTTTTGTTGTGGTAGGAAGAAACTTCGCCAAACCAACAGATAATATGGGCAAAGATAAATTTGGTTGAGTTTTCATCTCTCAAAGTTACTGCCATTTTTACCCTTCGAATTTACTAGGGTTGTTCCGAATTAACCTTGATGGATTTTCGTTCAAGGCAAAAAAAAAAGAAAAAAAATAAAATAATAAAATAATAATAATAATAATAATAAATTGAGATTGAAATATTCTGTTTTTATTAGAGATCATCACTCAATGTTTTTAATGTATGATAGATATTTCCATATTGAATATAATAAATTTATAATTTTTAAACTTCATGAATTTTCTACTTTTCTCTCTCTCCCCTCGTTCTGTATTTACGAAACTCTGACCCGTTCTCATACCATTCGGGCTTTTATTCGACCCCGGCCCATCCCTGATAAACGACGTCGTATAATCCGGATTAAACTGTAAAAGAGAAATACGAAAGATTCTTTCTTCGATTCCTTCTTTCCTTCCTTTTCCATGAGAGTCAATTCATTAATTAGCTACTGAACCTCTGGGTAAAGCTATTCCATTTCCTGCCTCGATATGCCCCTCTCTTATCTTTTACCGTTCAGGAAGGGAGACAAGAGAAAGACTCCTGATTGATCCTACTTCTTCTTCACGAGGTAAAGCATACCTCTCCCCTGTCCCTATTGGTTGTTATTGGTTACAAGGCTTTTGGCGTTTTCTCTCTAACGGACTGAACAGAGGAACCGGAAGGAAAGAAAGAGAAGCTACTTCGCCCTTATACGAGATATATTCCTTTTTGACCTGATGACTGAAATCCTCCCTTTTAGAGTATATTTATTATCTCATTCTTTCCTTTCTCCTTTCTCCTTTCTCCTTCTCGGTTGAAGTCGACCAAAATAATTCGTATGATATTATATTATTAAATTTTATAGATCTAACACGTACTTTTTTATGATTACAACATATATGTGATAATTAGAAATTGAACTGCCTATATGTATTTCCGTTCGATATCTTACATTTATTAATTATTATAAATATAAATTCATTATTTAGTACAGCAAGATGTAGAAGCGAAAGTTAACTCGAGCATATTTCAAATGGTTAAGGTATATTCTCTCCATCATTATCTACGGCAATCTTCAAGCTTCAATACCCTATACAAAAAGGGGAAACCAAACCTTATAGGCTACAAAAATTCTCTTACAAAGAAAATATACCCAACAAAAAATGCTCTCTCCTTAAAGGTCTACATTCCAAGTGAACATGAACAAGACTACACACAAGAAGGAAGAGGTTGCTCAACACCATTGCTGTTAAAGTTGCTGTCCGAGAAGCGATGGCTTATAGAAAACATGAGTTTGTGCAATCTTGATACGATCTCGAGGATCGGTTATCGTTTCGTCCCTCAGGGCTTGGAGAATGGCCTCTGCTGAAAACTCCCTAAATATTCAAAGAATGAAAGTAATTATCAGGCAGGTTTTCATGGGGGGCTTGTTCCATATGCCCTTACAAAATACAGAGAGAACAAAAGCAACTGAACTGAATCTCTTTGTACCTTGTTATTAGTATACCGTAGAGCATCTTTAGAATTGGGCAAAGCTTAACTGGAGCAACAGGCTTTTCATCTTCACGGTGTAGAACACTCGAGCTGGACTGACTGAGCAATTCATAAAATGCTTTCACAGCAGAAACCCCCTGCCACAACCATCTCATTCTGTCAGTTCACTCGATGTACATCTCAGGCATTAAAATAACTGATAAGAAAGAAAAAAAAGATAGCCCCATGAAATCTGGGATGGGTTTGGTTGATGGGTTGTTTGAGGTTTGGTTATGGTTCAGTTCAGGAAGCTGTTGGCACGTGGTTCTTTCAAAACTAATTTAGATTAAACTCAAATCAATCTCAATTTTGGCAAAGCCTTACTCCCTATTTTCACCTCCCCGAACCTGCCTTCTCAAGATTATGCTGCTGCCATGCTATAACACACACGCATGCATACACAGCCAAAGAAGCCCCCCTACTTATCACCAAAACGGTGTAGGACATTCAAAAAGTAAGAAGGACAAGAAACATGTATTTAGTATCGAAAATATCCAGAGCAGCTCAGAGATATTCGAGACTTTCAACTTTGGACTTGTATTAACCCAAGAACAGCTTACAACGTTCTAAGTCGAGATCTTTCCAAACGTGGTACTATGGGAAAAGGGAACTTCCAAGGGCCAATAGTTGCCGTGGGTTGGGTTGCTATGATTGTTCAATCGGTTGATGAGGGATTAAGGATGCTTGAAAGAAGTTATTATTTTTTTTTTTTCTATCCTACCTTCTCAGCAAACTGTAACATACTCCAAAAAAGGTGTTCTCCTTCAAAATCGCTTATAAATAACATACCTGAATCATACCCTTGCCTTTGATGCTATCACCCATTTCGAGGCTCAGCTTTCCTTCAGCTAATTTTTGCCCATACCACGCATTACGGCCTTTCAATAGAGTAACATAAGTGTCAGCCAGTAAAGGTCCCGCCAACTTCTCTGGTTCTTCAGTCAATAGATGAGTAATAAATATCATTTCCGAAGTGCAGTGTGCAAAGTATACGGCTTTGCTGGTGGCACTCTCTTTTGTTAAAGCTGCCACCATTCCTGTGGAAGAAATGCAAATTTTTCTGTGTTAAGCCAAAGAGGCTGGGGCAATGAAGATCCATCCATTACGTGATAATTTTTTCACCCATGCACCATAAGAATAAAGCTAATCAAACGTTGATCACAGTAATCAAGCGTAGGAAAGAGGTAGAATAAAAGTTTGGATTCTAAATGATCCACACATCTTGATCGTCTGTCCATTTTCCTATTGTAAAAAAACATAGAAACCAAGTTGAATCCTTCATTCACAAAAACTTTACAGTGATCTCAGTAAATTCAATGCGTTCATATTTGGTTTCCTAATCGTAAGTAGAGATCTGGAACTAATTTAGGCAAAATATTTCTAAGAACTAGATGAATCATAAAAAGTTGCAGCCAAGACACAGAATGAACAGACAAACAATAAAGGCACGTCTTTTGTGGCAGTATGAAATAGTTTAAGACATTCAAGAAACGAATAGGAAATGAGCATTACCGGCTCCAATGGCATAGACATTCTTTAATCCGCCCATTACTTCATGGGTAACAAGGTCGCCATTGTCCCACACAATGAAATGGGGTTGCCTCAAAAACTTTGCTAGGGGTTTTCTCCACTTTTCAGCTCCACAAATTCGAGCATTGGCATACTCCCTATTGTAAATCTCCGAGGCAATATTTGGTCCACCAAGATAAAGAATGTTCTCCGATGGAACTCCAGCTGCAAATCAGTAATGTCACAACTTAAAGGCAATACCGTATGTTCCCACATGTCCACACAAGTAAACAAAGGGAAAAAAAGGAAGAAAAGAAATACTCCTGTTTGGGTTCCCCCCTCCCAATGGCATCTTTTAGTTACAAAGAGTCAAAATATTTTGACTATCCAAGATCATATTTAGGGAGTGCAAGTTTTCATACGACTCAATAAGCAGGAAACAAACTGTAATAGCTCAAGCCTACCGCTGTCAGATATTGTCCTTTTTAAGTTTTCTCTCAAAGTTTTTAAAACGCGTCTGCTAGGGAGAGGTTTCCACACCCTTATAAAGAATGCTTTGTTCCCCTCTCCAACCAATGTTCACACAAACCCTTGGAACTACAAGATATCCGGATAAAAAACCCATACTATTTGATTCAATGCAATAATTAAAATATACAAGAAAAAAGGTTTCAGGCAATGAATTTACTTTCTAGTTTCTTTCTCATCGTTCTCATCGTTCCCATTCCACCTGAGCCTAAACTAGATTAACTTGAGCTTATCAAATTCGGTGTTAGATAGATCACCACTGAACCTAGAAACCTCCAAACCAATAACTTAGTGCAAAATATATGTAATACATTCTTGAAGTAAGGTCCTAGTTGCACAATTCCATAGAACTTCAGCTTTGTCTTTGAACCATACCCATCCAACAAGTGGACTATAAATATGAGATAAAAAGAAAACAAGTGGACTATTAAATCTCGATCTCTTACACTGACACCACATCATGTTAAGTTATTACTACACATAGAAGCTTCAAACTATAGCTGTTAATATAGTTTTTTCACTACCAAGGGATATAAACGATACCAAGAGGAAGCATTCTTACTTGCGCTGTTAATCATCTGTGTAGGAGTTATTATCCGTGGTTGAGGGTCCAATTCAGCCTCCACACCCTTTGATAAAGAAATGATAACAGGCATCGTTAATCTCTCTTTCCAATACCTACGCATTTCGTCGAACACTTGGCGGGTGTCGGTCGAAGGCAAGCCATTCACCACAATGTCAGCATCCCACACAGCCTCCTGCAAATTGTTGACAACCTTCAAAGGGCAAAGAGGTGTATCAATCATATTCAAGCAGAACCCATCTTTCAATATCTCATCTGCATACAGAGTTCTGTCACCTAATCTCGCTTCCACATATTTCAAATATGCACATCGCCTAATCAATCTTCTCAACACATCTTCCCTTGAATTTATCACTTCAAATAAATGCTCTGCAGTTTCTTTATCCACTGTTCGTCCATGTCTTCTCCAAATCCTTATCTGAACTTTCTCTCTCAAATGACCATAACTCTCTTGCAGCATCGCAATGAAGACACTGCCCCAAGCACCAGCTCCAACGCCGACGATCCTCAGTGGATCCCCATCGGCTTTTCCAAATTGACGACGAAGATCGTCAAGCTTCTCCTCCTGAATTGAGCCATTTGTATGGCTATTTCCGTCGATAGTATCAACCATTTTCTTCTTTCGAACTTGCAGAACCAGAAATCGAGCTTCGGGATTTAAACAGCTTGTTTCTAAATCGAATTCAATCGGGGTTTTATAGGGGAAAAAAATGGATTCTCGAAACTAAACAATGTTTACGTACCGAAATCGAAACGTGATTTCGCTTTTTCATGCTCCAGCTATTATCGAACCAAAACAAACCAACATCCGTGCGAAATTCGAGACCTAAAATGCAGATTCATCGACACCGACAAGAACCGCGTAATACAGCGCGCAGAAATGCAATTTAACAGCGCATTTGACAATCTGCCGCCACGGAGCAGTCAAACAAGATCTTCGAAGTTTCCTTTACTTCTTCAAATTCAACTTTTACCAAAAGTAACCTGAAAATGACATCGACAACAAAGAAAATCAACTGTATGAAAAACTCGAAGCCAAGTTATACGAATAAAAGCACAATCAGCACCGTTGAATCAAGAACAATCCAAATTTCCTTTTGACCAAGTGATTATGTAATCCATTAATTTACAGAGATAAGAGAAAATTGAGAAGAAGAATGATGAAATCTGCTAAAATCAAATTCAGATAAGATTAAAAATGGGGAAAGCAAATGGATGACTCTGACGTGGCAGAAAATAAGCGCTCGATTCCTAACACAAAACTTCAATCATAAAATCAACTTTTTCAAAAATTCAAATAATATTTAAATTTTCTTAACTAATACCTCCCAAATATAAAGTAATTAAATATTAAAAATAATTAAAATATACTATAATTCAAATCATAATATCTAAGATATATTTCATAAATAATAATATATTATCCAAATATTATATCTCAATAAAACGTACTCTATAGAGGGACACTTTCTATAAGTAGAGTGATCGTAAATACCGTTTAAAACCTATTTTAAAGAATTAAGTGTTAATGTTATTTTAAAAAAATATTTTTGAAATTTTTAAAAAGTTAATGATATTTTTTAAATTTCTATTCAAGAATATTTAAGGAGTAGAAAATTAACTAAAATGTTATTGAAATTTTTAAAAAATTTAAAATATTTTTTAGATATATATATATAAAAGGAGTAAGGGCATTCCGCATAAGAATAAGAACACATACGGCTTCTCTTAATTGCTAACCTGCAAAAGCTAGAGATGCAGACGGCCGTACAACCATGAACCAGTAGTAGAATCGAATCCGCTGTTGTGTTGTCCGGTCTGGAAAGAGAAGAATCGAAAACAAATCAGGTTTGTGACTCAAAATCCCTTTAATTTCATCGCCATTCTCCGACTCGAATTTGTTCCGTTCATGTGTTTTGGTTACTGATTTTGATATCATTCCTGGGATCTTGTTCTTCATCTTCCTTTTGTTTTTTTTTTTTTTTTTTTTTTCCACATACAGTTTT